GTCCCACGTGTATGTAACAGCTGTCCCACGTGTATGTAACAGCTGTCCCACGTGTATGTAACAGCTGTCCCACGTGTATGTAACAGCTGTCCCACGTGTATGTAACAGCTGAACTACATGGGAGTCCTGTTCAGTCTCCTGACTGAAAGCCGCCTGTCACATAACACAGCACAACACCTTTTCATCCCACCAGTCACGCAGAAGGGACTGAACAAAAATAAATAAATAAAAAATGCAAATGCGTGAAACGCGCTTTTGTCATTTGGCCTTCCGGATGCAGCTGCCATGCTTCTGGGATGTACCGTGCCTTAAGGCCGACAGGAACGGCCAGGACAAGGTCGAGAAAAGGTGAATTCACACTGCAGAAAGTGCTGCGAGGTGGCGATTTTGCCCTCATGTAAGGATAGAGCGAACATTCTGGTACAGCCCAAGGCGACATCTTCTAGACACTAGAGAAGGTCTGCAATAAAACCTTTTACAAAGGCCTTCTGGGAAGGTGATGGGTTTTAGGGGACGGTCGGGTCACACTTACAGGGTCTCGCTGCTCTTCGGCGTCTCTGGCAGAGGGCCGAGGTCTCATCTGGGTGTCATCGTTACATTCGCTGTCGGACGCGTTGGGAGACTCGGCCAGATCCAGGAATTCATCTCGCTTATGACCTCTGAACCTTATTTTGTCCAGTCGCTTTAGCATGGTCAACACTGGCTCCCTCTGCTTCAACTTAACATGACTGACATCAAGCCTGAACAGAACAGGAACACAAACAGCAAGCAAAGCAAGGGGGTCATAACATGAACATGGACATCAAGGTCAAAATGGAGCAACGGTAACAAAAACATCTGCTAGATCTCACTGTGCCAGCCTTCCCTGCAGCGTTTAGCTGGACAAGGCTGGACGTTAAAGGCAAAAAAAAAAAAAAAACATTAACCAAATTGACAAAATTTTTATGAACGTAAAAATTAAAACCAAAAACTATTCACTTATTTCTCTAATACATAAAAAAATCAAAGAAGAATCAAGAATCGATGATTCTATAACTTGGCCCAGTAGTTAAATTTTCCTGGTGTTAGGAGGTTAAGCTTCTCTTAAATGTTATCATTGATGGTCAGCAATCACAATGATCAAACACACCTGCACCTGTGACTTTCACATAGTGGGAGGTTTAAGGCTGAGTTTGCCTCCACAACCCACACACAAACACATGCAAGGGCAATGTCTATTACAGCTGATAGAAATTGAAAAATAGAAGACAGAATGACAGAATGAGTGCAGAGGCTTTCAGTATGACAGATTATCCGCCACAAACCAGAAGCAATGCTGGCTGCAGTTCCGCAGCAGAGATGGAAACTCACTGCATATTAACTATGAGGCAGTGCTGCCGTGCTATGGGCCCAGGAGAGAACATGCTGATAGACAGTCAAGCGGAGAAGAACTGGGAAGACCAGGCAGGCGAGCGGGGAAGACCGGGGAGACGAGCGGGGAAGACCGGGGAGACGAGCGGGGAAGACCGGGGAGACGAGCGGGGAAGACCGGGGAGATGAGTGGGGAAGACCGGGAATCGGGATGATGCATCCTCTTTAAAACAAATCAGCACAAAGCTGGTCAGGCTGTCAGACTGATAGATGCTAAACCAGGCTGTTTCTTTCACTTCCATCTGTTTGACTCAATCGAGCAGAACTGACATTCTGTTAAGAAACACACACACACACACAGAGGGAGGGATGGGGAGAGAGTGAGAGAAAGAGCACTTGGTGAGAACCGCCATAAGGCAGACAGAACAGGTCTGAAGACCTGCTTGACGCAAAGCCGCTAACCAGCATTTCCTGTGCTGATGTCAGAAAGCGCTACGTTGGGGGGGGGGTGGGGGAGGTTGGGGGGGTTACCGGGGGGGAGACACACACACACACCACTGGCAACTGGAAAATCCAGCAAGTTAGTACTAAGGACACTGCTAATGCATTCTGGCCCACTTGGGGGATGCGGAGAGCACTGTTATGGTGATGGTCACCTTCTTCTCTGTCCTAGACTCCATCACTGACCCAAGACAAAACCAGAGATGTCTCAAAGTCAGTTCAACACACCTCACACAGCAAGACCCTAGCCACTTAAAGATGGCATGCCGGTCACAATACCTGCATAAGGTAAGATTTGGAAACGTAACACTAATGGTCAGTAATCTGGATATCCAACACTGAAATAAAATCACTAAAGCAGCACCCAAAACACAAAAAACACAGGTAACAGGGCACAGAGAAATGAAAGAATTTCAAGGCCATAGATATGGAAGCTAAGGCCCCATTCTATAGTCTGATTAGCTTCAGCCACAATTAAAATGGGGAATTCCCTCCCATTCAGGCTTAGCGGACACTTACATACTCCTTCAGGAGACTGAATTGTTATTTTTAAAAAAAACAATATGAAAAATCAGTCTGTGTTGTTAAGATCTATCTGCCATAATTTCCACAGCCTGGTAATAGCATGAAATTCAGTCTCACTGGTCCCAGGTCAGAGATGGGCGATCGGCACCAATGAACAGGAATAGATGGCTGCAGGTACATCCTGCTCGCCAACCGCAGAATTAAATCCACAGGCAGGAAAAGCTAAACATATCTGTTCAAGATCACTGCTCTGTGTTTCTGTCAGGGTTTTATTTGTGTTTATTTTTCCAGTACTATATGACAACCATGCACTTTCAACTTCCAAAACCAAACATTCTGAATTAACCAGGAGTGGCTATGGAGCGGGGTGTGGACCTGCGCTGTCTCCTCATTTTCGGCAGCCAGACCCTCCTCACCAGGCTCACGGAACTTCTTACCTGCTCGCCCAAAAGGCAAACCAACAGGGCTGCCAACTTTGATCTGCTGGCTGGCGTGAGATTTTCAATTCGAGACAAGTCTTCACAGGCATTTATATGTATGTAACAGTTTTATTACCTCGTAAATAGTCTGTAGGGCTTGCATACTACTCCAAAGCTTTTGATGAAGTAAATATTACGTTTATAATGGAATAACAGACATTTTCCATAAGACTTCTTACGTTAGAGTCTGAAAGCCCGAGTGTCACGCCAGATGCCTTAGAGTTGGCAGCGCTGAAACACTGAACCTTGAACCCAGAGATATCAGGTTTGCGATGGGTGTCGTCGGAATGCAAACATTAACCCTCACGGCAGGAGGAGCGCAACCATCACCCACAACCATCGATCACTACGGAACTTGACACTTCATCGCTTCTCTTTGTTTTATTCTATAATACAAATATGTGAAATGTCTGCGCCAGTTACTACGGGGTCATTAGATGACCCCTTTGTTCAATTAAGCGGTCATTATGTTTTGACTAAATATCTTAAACGAAGGGGCACCGTGACGTAAACAGACATTCGATCGGAAAGAGCAGATTCCGCCGTCTCGCGGAAAAAAGCTTAACGTAGCGTAACGTGGCAAAGCGCGAGCCTCGCGTGATGCAAGACAGCACAAGCAAATGGCAATATAATTAATGTTTCAATCGGGGAGACGATAAACGGGAAACAAGGGCGCGTGCTCATTTTAATGTTTTATCAGGATTCGTTCTTACTACGGCTAAATACGCGCTCCGTGACATATGTACCCTTTCACGGTGGGGCTGAGTCATAGCTATGCATAAACGTAACAAAAGCGAATGCAACAGTAGGTGCTGCCCGCATGACAACCAGTAAATACATGTGTTGCCTTTCCATAAACGATTAGCTCATCCGAATATAAAACACGGTAGCACAATTCTGGCTAATGCAGAACCGAATTGTACAAATATCACTGAATTATTCAATACAGTACGCAGAGAACACGGTTCCTACATACATCCGCAACGATCTGGCTTAATCGTTCAGCATGCAGTGCCTCGGCCGGGGGTGACAGCTCCAGCAGCAAAATGTAGTGCCACGCGAATGCGTTAGTGATGCCAGTTTCTCACCCTTCACGCAAATCGTGGCGAAGTTTCATTAACACGGATGCAGTGCAGAGTCCACGCCGTGCATTTCTACACCCGCCGAGAGCTGCCGCTTAAATCCTCCGCGGCTCCGACCCACAGCCGCAACTGAACATTTGGTCTACAGGACCCCCCCCCTTTACGAAGGAGGGGAAATGCCTGCTCACAACGTGGTTTTTATAATAGGAGATACACCGCTACCCCCTTCAGTTAAGAGACTGCCTCTGACGCTCCACTTAGATTTTTTTCTTCGTACTTCAAGGAAACACCAGACCAGGAAATTTCGTCAATATCAGGTGCAGAAAGTCTTAAAGAGCCCGCCGGCAGCGTTTCGGGGAAGTGCTGGAAAGTCTTAAAGGAACGTGACGGCAGCGTGTTATGGATCAAGTCAGAAATGCCGTCGACAGCGCCTCGGATACGCAAAGTCTTAAAGGGATTCTGAAAGTTTCCTAATAGATGGGGGATGTCCAAAGAGACCAGGGCAACACTGTGGGCGTCCGACCGGAGGGTCCTGCTGCCACCTGTGCACCAAAGTGCGCGATTCTCTGTTCTTTCTGCCGTGATAGATTCGCCATCGTACGAAAGGCGACTCATTTTGGACCTAAGGGCCGATGTGCAAATGAATTGGATTGCACTGCTCCAATGCACAAATTTGGAATTTTACTGTTGTGTACATGAGAAGATAATTCTTTTAGAATGTAAAATGCATATTTCCGCAGTTATGCCATAGAAATGTACAAAAACGCTATTGTAAAAAATATTGTGCATTTTTTAGCCATCCGCCAGCTTTATGTAATACTTTACAGTATAAAATCCTGACTAAAAAATGTGAGTAATCCAACGTATAATAATAATAATACATATTATTATTATTATTAATATTAATAATAATTTTGTTATTAGTTTATTTGTTTGGTGTCTTTCCCGTCCTCAATATCAATCGATCCCACTGGAGGGCGCCAGCACACGTGAAACGCAGTACATATATAGTCGGAATTTAACCTCTGTAGTCAGATCATTTTATCACACGAAAACATGAATTGCTTCAATGTACCGAGGGTACCAAGGGTTGAAGGATATTATAAAGTTGAACTGAATTGTCCCACATGTTTAATAACAGAACAATAGTTTTAAAATGTTCCCAGAGCGGGCTGGAAGCCTGTATGAATTCCCACTTCCAGGTAAATGGGCGTTTTCAATCCACGTTTCACGGGACCTTGCGTTAACAGTTCAGTCTCCGCTCACATGTTAATTTGGCTCTTCTGTGTCACCACAATTCTGATGTTCCAGTATCTGATTTTAGAAAGAAAGCGCTGCTTCCCTTTCGTACCCACACACCCCGAAAAGATGAGCTCACAGAATTATTAAAACATTGTTAATCACATTTTAATTTATCAGCTGTTTAGCCCTCTTTCAGAAATGACTGCCTTCTGTGAGCAGTGATACATTAAATGGCCACCAGGTGGCACATGCTGCCCTTGTTTATTTGCTCGGTTGCTATGGAAGCGTGTCCCGAGTCAGACGCAGACATACACAGCGGTCCATTGACAATACTGCCAGTAAAATCCGACAGCGCACGAAGACCTGAACCGATTACAGACCTGAACAGGATCACGTTACACCGGTACTCTAAATGCATGAACACTTACTGGGAATGAACAGATGGGTGATTTCCAGTAAAAAGAAATAATAAAATACTGATTTACTGCTGTGCACCAAAGGGTCCTGGAGAGGGAAACAGATCTAGTGGTGAAACATTTATGGAACCAAGGCACAAATATAGAATAGTGCCAATAGTGTAGTTTTAACAAAAGCCTATAGGCATTATTTTTAAAGCTTTGTCGAAGAGAGCAGAGCCCCGGAAGCATAAGGGAAGCCAGTTAATAATAATGACACTTTATTGATCCCTGTGGGGAAATAATGTTTCCACCTACCCCCCCCCCCTTGCTCTCCATGACGCACATGTAGGTGAGAGGAAGCCTGGCAGTGAAGGGCAGCCACCTGCAGCAGTGCCCAGGGAGCTGGGGGTTAAGGGCCAAGCTCAAGGGCCCACAGGCGTGACTATTCTGCTGAGGCCGGGCTTGAACCAGCAACATACTGATCACAGGTACAAAGGTTTAACCCATTGAGCCACACACTGTTATGACCGTAAACTGTGTATCTTCTACCAGACCAGGCCTTATTTGAACATTGGAGCACCCCTCCCCCACCTGACCTCACCTCACCTCACCTCCTCCACCTCACTTCACCTCATCCCACCCCACTCAGCCATGCAGGGTCACAAACTCACAAATTGCACATGGTCTGGTACAGTGTAACCTGTCTTTCCAAGACCAACAATGACCCAATCAATGAATATAATGTTTCAGTACAATTGATGGGAAGCCTTGGAGCTGCAGTTCTGTTAGTGTATCTCTGCCAGGCCTGGATGCCATGCAGTGTGAATGCTGGAGATTTCAGACCCCCCCCCCCCCAAAAAAAAAACAGTGGAATAGGCAGGTGTTTGTGACTCTCTGAGGACAATAGGCCCAGATGGTATTCGATACCTCGAATGCCCTTCATATGAAATTCTGGCCAAAGATAAGCTGCCAATTTTACAGCTCTCACATCATTTGGTAGCTGAGGATCTGGCCTTAAACACCTATGATCAGAGCTGAGGGGATGAGCCACAACGCTCCCACTGATAAGATAAGATAGGATAAGGTAAGAAAGAACTTTATTTATCCAGAAGGAAATTCTTTTGTCATAAACATGCTCAGTGCAACAAGAGGAATAAAGATAAGACAGTAAAGAGTTTAAAAAGAACAGTAGTAATAATGCAAACAGAATAACAAAATAACTCAAACAAAATAACAAATAACAGATATAATAAAATAACAGATTATTAGTGCAAGTGGTTATGTAAGTGACTTAGTGTTTATGCCATGAATAAAATGAAATAGCAGCATGTGATGAAACAAACATTTAATAACATACAGACGAGTAAATAAAATGAAGATAAGTAATATTGCACAATCCGAATGAGAACCTAATGACATAAATACTGAAAAAGATCACCTACAGAATGGGGAAGATTTATTCAATCTTATTGCCACAGGTAGAAATGATTTACTGTGGCGTTTCGGTTCTGCATTTGCAGGCAATGAGTCTTTTGCTCTGTGTGCTCTGATGACCCATCATGGAGGCGTGCATGGGGTGAGAGGGGTCGTCCATGATACTGAAAAGCTTTTTCAGCATTCTCCTCTCAGACACCTCCGCCAGGTTCTCCAGTCTGACACCCAGGACAGAACCAGCCTTTTTAATCGGCTTGTTCAGCCTGTTGGCATCAGCTGTCTTCACCACACTGCCCCGGCACACAGCTGCAGAAAACACCACACTCTCTACTACAGAGTCATAGAACATAGTCAGCATTTTCCTACAGACGCTGAAAGACCTGAGACTCCTCAGTAGGTAAAGCCGACTCTGCCCTTTCTTGAAAACAGTGTCAGTGTTCTTGGACCAGTCCAGTTTACTGTCAATGTGCACCCCCAGGTACCTGTAGTCCTCAACCACCTCAACATCTGTTCCTCTGTTGGTTACAGGGGTGGGGGGGAGGATCCTGCCTCCTAAAGTCCACAACCAGTTCCTTTGTCTTTGTGATGTTAAGCTGTAAATGGTTCCACTCACACCACTCTACAAAGCTGTCCACCACACTCCTGTATTCATCCTGCTGTCCATCCCTGACACAGACCACAATGGCAGAGTCCTCAGAGGATTTCTGCATGTGACATGACAGACCTCTACCTGAAATCAGACGTGTAGAGGGTGAAGAGGAAGGGTGATAGGCCAGTTCCCTGTGGTGCTCCTGTGCTGGTAAGGATGCTATTAGAACGGCAGCAGCCGGACATGCTGTGGTCGATTGGTTCGATAGTCCGTAATCCAAGCTACCAGTGGGGTGTACACCAGCATTTCTGTGAGCTTATTCCCCAGCAGTGATGGTCTGATTGTATTAAAAGCACTGGAGAAGTAGAAACACGACCCTCACAGTGTTCCCAACAATGTCCAGATGAGAATAAGCCTGGTTCAGCGGGTAGATGTACGGGGTCAGTAAGCAAACTGTAGGGGGTCCAGCCAAGGCTCCACCATCAGACGCAGATGTTTCAGGAGAAGTCTCTCCAGTGCTTTCATGACATGTGTAGTCAGAGCCAATGGCCTGTATTCGCTGGGGAACGAAGGGTGGGTCTTTTTGGGTACAGGAACCAGACAGGATGTCTTCCAGCAGAATTCGAGTTGTTGTGGGATGCAGGTGGATGGCAGCCTTTCTGTGGGGAGAAAAAGAGAAGAACCATCCCATCTGCAAATATACACTACCAAGGGCCATCAACATCATGACTTCTGACAGACAATTTGATCAATATGCAATTTATACCACGGACACTGGCCTCTTCTTTAAAAAGTAGCCTATACTGTTTTTTTTATCTTTGTCAGTCAAAACATTTTGCGTCGTACATACTTATTTACCCTTTACTACTTTCAAATGTTACTCCAGGAACAGAACACAGCCTTTGACTTTGATAAGGTTAATAAAAGTACTAAGTACCATGGAATAGATGTTCTCCTTACAGGAGACCCAGATGATGAATAGGTTAAACATAAAGAATTTGCAGGGCATTTTCATTCAGAGTTCATTTCAATGGACTTGAATGATCAGTCAGTAGGGTTGCCACTGGGACACATTTTCCAAATTGCAAATATACTACTTTAACATTTGTAGGATTCCCTGTTGCCTTTGTAGGACTCCCCGTTCCCTTTGTAGGACTCCCCGTTGCCTTTGTAGGACTCCCCGTTCCC